CGTTCAAATTGGGAACAGATTAAGATATAGAACATTGATAAATAATTAATTACTGACCAAAATATATCTTGCTCCATAAGAAAACCAATTTAGGAGAGGGCCATATAACTCTAAAGTTAATTTGCTCTTAGTTATAAAGAGTCATGCAATCATAAACTTCGTAACGAGGCAAGTTCGTGCTACATATAACCAAAAGTAATATGCGCGTGGAGATGAACTTACTGTTGTGTATGTGCAATTATTTTGCTTCTAATTCGCATTTTCCTTACCTTCGTCCTAAAGCAGTAGTATTTGTGTAACAACTTTAGCTACTATTCAAGATCTAATAATAGTCTTGACTGGCCACAGTTCCGTTACAAACGAAAAAATATGAGCCATAAAACTGTGTTCCTACTAGCATCACCGCTAACGCAAAGGATACAACTTGTGACTAGGCGTTCTGCATGATCGTCTACGCGTAAGACTGCAATGGCAGCCCACTTTAGTATGTGAAATGATACGTGCCAATGCAAGCAATGACCCATTGCTATCGACGGAATCCAAACACGTGACTGGAAAAGCTTCAGACAAACGAGTAATCTGAAGGAGGCCTGTTCTACAATGCACTACAGGCCCGGGGCGTACAGCTCGGGGCAAATAAAGCCAGCGGCGAGAATTCACTTTCCACAGCACAACCTCACCACGCAGCCTCTAAATAAAAAGTCTGCAAAGGGTTGGTATCCGAATGCAAAAGTGGCATTCAAGGCTTTAGATGGATTGGCTTCGCGAAAACACCAACGAAGCCTGAATGGAGAAGATGCCATACACCCTTTACGCGTTCTGATCAAGTCATAATTCCGTGCACCGTTTCGTTGCTCTCCTTTGTCAGATGTTAATCTGTACCAGGCCAACTTGCCGATCCTACTTCAGATTAAGCCAATCTTAACCCTATAGACGGACATTTTTAGATAAATGAATTTGAAATCCATTTGAAAGGATCCATCTTAAAATATTCCGTGAATACAAATTAGCAACATGTATAGCGACAGAAATAAGGTGAAAATTATCTGAAGGCGAACAAAAAGATTTATTGGTTGGCAGTTGGTTCAATTATTTATGATTTCCAAATAACAGAGTTCATCTTCCACTTGGTGACATGATGTTTGGATATGGAGTTAGCCGAACGCATCCGGTCCCAGTGACGTCAATGTACAAGAGTCTCCTACACAGCTTTTCACAATAAATAAAAGGTTTTTGCTTCTCTGTCGTTGATAGTTGCCCCTCAAACAAGATACTCTGGAACAGATAGTCAGTCT